CCCCAGAGCCTGGCCTCCACGACCTCTCCCCACAGCCTCCACGGCCTCCACAGACTTCACTTCTGCCTCTTCTCCCTCCACCCATCCCTCTGCTTCAACCAAATCAGCCTTCATGCTGACATTGCTGGCTCTTCCCTCCCGCCGGGCCTGTGCGGTCACGGTTGCCTCTGCCACAGTCCCCTCTCCTCCAGAGAGGCCCCACTGCCTCCCTCACGTTGCCCACCCCCTCACAGCGTCCTTGTCCTTGGCTTTGTCCCCTCCTTGGTTACGGTGCAAATGCATTTGCTAGGGTGTCCCTCCTGTCTTCTGTCTCTGGGCTGGGGTTCCGGCCACCTTGTCACCAACAGTGCCTGCCACGCAGCAGGTGCTGATATAAGGTAATGGTGACTGCGGGCCTCGTGCAGGAGTGCATGGTGATCCCGGTGGCAGCTGCGGTTGACTTCACTGGTGACACGAGTGGGCCAGGTCTCCTCTCTGGTCAGCCAGAGGGCCCTGAGCAAGAGGTCCCCGGGTCGACGCCTCGCTCCCTCCCCTGCCTGTTTACCTACCATCCGTCCGTTCATCCGGGGCAAACGCTGCGCTGCACTGGGGTGAGCAGAGGCCCCACCTGCCCAGGGCTTGCCGCGTGCTAGACTCGGGGCTGGGCTCTGAGGGACCTTGTGGGACTTAGACGGAGACACAGTGAAGCCGGCTCCATACTGCCTGGTCATCGCTCGCCTGGAGTCAGGCTCATCATGCAGAGCCTCAGTATTACTTCCTGAACAATGGGGCCCAGATCAGGGAGGATGGGGACATTAAGGGAAGTGTCATAAGCAAGGCCCCGTGAGGCAGCTAACGTCATTGACTTTGTCATCCTGCTGCTGGCCAGCCTAACCCATGAGACCCGGGACAGGAGGAGCCACTGACATGTCTGCAGGCTCCTCTTGAGGAGGCCGAGGCATAGGGTGAGGGAGGGGTGGATGCGGAGCATGGCCGGCACCTGCTGAGGGGGCTCCTGCCTGGAGAAGGCCAGGCTGGTGGGAGGAGCCACCCTGAGCCCTACCTGAGAAGGAGAAAGCCTCTTTCCCTGTAATCCACAGCCTTCACCCAGGGACCTGCCAGGGAGCAGGGAGCAGGCCAGCTATAGCAAGACCCCCCAGGTGGCTGTCCCTCATACTGCTTCCCAGAAGGTCTAGCCCCCCCCACACACACACACTCAAAACAACAACACACACATATACTGTGTTAGTCAGCTTTCTGTGACTGTGACAAAATACCTGAGAATATTTATTTAAAAGGAGAAAAGTTTTGTTTTAGCCCAGGGTTTCAGAGGTTTCATTCCTTGGTCACTTGTCTCCATTGTTTCTTGACCTGATGCAAGGGGGAAGGGCATGGTGAGCAGAGCTGCTCACCGCACGGCAGTTGAGAATTAGAGAGACGGAGAGGAAGGGGCTGGGGACAAGATATACCCTCATAGGACACACCCCCAGATGCCCAGTCCTTTCATCCAGCCCTCACCTCAACAATTTCCACTATCTCCCAGAAGGTCTTTCAATTATGAACCCATCAATGGATTGATTAGTCTATTGATGAGGTCAGAGCCCTCCTGACCCACCACTTCCCAAAGTCCCACCTCTGATCCTTGCTGCACTGGCGACCAAGACTTCAACACACGAGCCTGGGGACATTCCAGATCCAAACTATAACATACACATGCACACACCACACACAGCATGACACATGCACACACAACACACACTACAACGTATGCATACACACACCTACAAGCACATGCATACATACTATATATGCACACACACCTACCACATATCCATATACAACACATACACACACATGTGTGGAACAACACACATACCCACAAATACACATGCACACACGCACAAACCACCCACACATACATATACACAAACTGTATGCATACACTCTCCCCTCTCTCTCTCTCACACACACACACACACACACACACACACACACAGGATGGTCCTGCGGGGCAGGCAGCAGAGCAGCCTCACCCTCCCTCCGTATGTAGGTCTGGTTAAGTCCTAGAGCTCACGCTATTCAGGCTCTTGGCTGCTCTTTGGACCGAAGTCGCATTGATCCTGACTCCTGAGCAGAGCATCATCTCAGCTCCCAGCAGGACTTGGGGGTGGTTTGGGTTCTGGTGGATTAAGAGGTCCTCTTTAGCTTCTGCAGAAGGAAGACAGGGAAGGATGGGGCACCCTGGGGTGCTGGGGAGGGGATGACCTCTGGGAGTTCTGGGCTTCATGCAGCTTTCTGGGGTTACCGTGAGGAGATGGTGCCTGCAAAGCACCGAGAGCAGAGCTGGGTGCTGGGTATACATCTGTTAACCACAGTCCGTAAGCGAGACGGGAAGGGAGGACCCTGGGGATCAGCCGACACCCACCCTGCAGTTGTCCTGGGGTGTCCCTGTGGCTAGGCAGAGGGAAAAGCCTAGGAGCAAATGGATCCACTTCCCGGCTGTGACCTTAGGCAAGACCTTGACTCACCCTTGACCTTCATTTGCATCTGTGAAAGGGCACTGTAGCACCTACTTGGGCTGCTTCAGAGGCCTCTGGAGGTGTAGGGAAGCATCCAGAAATATTTTCGTGAAAGCAATTTTTATTTTGTTAGTAATACTACATTCTGGTCTCCTCGGATGTGTTGTGATGTTTTGTTTCTTAAAGGCTCTTTTAAGACAGGGGATGTAGCTCAGTGCATCTGCCTAGCATGCTCAAAGCCCTGGATTCCATCCTAGCATCATTTTCTTTTTAAAGGCACTTTCCTGTACATTTAAAAAGTGGGCACTGCTTACTGCTGCCTGCTTGGAGATGTAGGAAAGTCCAAGTGGTCCTGGTGTGGAGACTGGCCCGCCCTTGACTCTCCAGCCTCCCAAGGGCCTGGAGGGTGAGCATCTTGTCCCTTGCTTCACAGCAAGTAAATTCACAGTTTGTGAACCCTAAGTGCTCCAAACACTAGGGTGAATTGTCATTGTCAGTGGTGACACTTGTTGAGTGCCTCTTACTGCAAAGGCTCCGGGCTAAGCCCCTTCACATTAGCTTTGTGCACCTGCACAGCCTTCCAGGTAGCCGCCGCTCCCCATGTTCAGATGAGCAGATGGAGACTCGGACAGGTGCTGAGGCTTGTGCAAAGCACTCACTTGGAGGCCATCTCTGACTCCCAGGATCCACGGCCTCCACAGTACTTGGTTGTCCTGTCACAGTGGCTGAGTCACAGTCACACTCTCAGGCTCACCTGTTCAGAGACTGGGGTCAGAGGGAGAGGAGGCACCCAGAAGTCAGCAAAGCCAGGCAAGAGGGCTGGTTGCCTGCCTACTGGCCACTTCCTTCTTGAGTCTAATGTTGGCAAGTTGATTTAAGCACAGTCCCCATGGAAAGTACCACGATGGTGGAATTATGAAAATAAAATTGAATACATCAAAAGTGAAGTTGAGACTCAATAGAAAACTTTCCTCCCGTTAAAAACCCATAGCGTCCAATCCAAGGGTCTGTTGACAGATGGTGGACAAACAAAATGTCATCGACACATAATGGAATAATATGTAGCCTTTAAAAGGAAGGAAACTGTGACACTTGCTACCATTTAGTTGGACCTTGAGGACATTATGCCCAGTGAAATGATCCAAGCACTAAAGAACAAGTACTGTCGATTCCACAGATAGGAAGCACCCAGTGTAGACAGATCCACTGGGACAGAAGGCAGAATGACAGCTACCAGGAGTGGGGGAGGGGGACTTGGGGTCTAATGGGTACAGGGTCTCAGTTGGCGATGAGGAGAAAGTTCTAAAAATGGGTGGTAGCCGTGGCTACGCAATATGACTGTTCTTAATGCCACTGAACATGGTTACAATGGTAAGTTCTATATTATGTGTGTTTTAATACATACTATGACACAATACAAGGAAAGAATTTATAGTGTTTACAGTACAGTGTTAGAATCTATTTGCAGAGAAACGGCAGCCTTATTTTTATACATTACTACGGGATGCCTAGTCGTCAGCTGACCTGCACATACGCAAAAAAGAAAAAGAAAAAAAAATAGACCAATCACATCTCTTTCAATTATTCAGACATCCAGACTCAACACGGCTCCGCTGGCCTGTGGCCTTCAGACTGAGGGAAAGTCAACTGAGAAATCTCTCCTTTCCCAGTCTAACTACTTTTTAAAGAGCCCTGTTTCCCTAAAGCCTATAATTATGTTTGCCTCCAGGGTATACCCAGGCATTTTTTTTTAAATAAGCAAAGAGCATCCTACAATTATCATGATGATTTGTTGAGCACAGGCCAAAGGCAGACAGCAGGCTGACTCAGCTCTGCAGACTGACACGCACGTGTTGGCGATCTCAATCCTGCAGGCCCCGCCAGGACGCGCGGGTCGATAATTAATATTAAGAGCTGGAAAATGAACAGATCCACACAGACGTCTGCGCTATGCTGCCCACAAGATGGGTCAGGCAGCAAGCAGGTGGGTGGGATGTGGCCCTTCCTGAGCCTGGCTGTCCCCTTGGAGCAGGCCCTCCCTCCGCAGATGGTCCTAGGTAAACGTCTCCAGCCTGTGTGAGTGCGTGGCAGCATCCAGATGTTGTCACCCGGTGCTGCTGCTAGCGCCACACGCAGCCGGGGCCGGGGTGGGCAGAGGCCGGCGGAGTTGGAGCCTGTCAACTCTGTCAGCCCTGATTTGCGGGCTGAGCCTGGTTTCGTGGCCCTGCCTGTAATCTCCCCGAGTTCAAAGAGCGCTGAGCTGCTTGTCTTTGTCAAGAGCGCGGTTGGGGATCTTTTATGTGGAAGATGTAGGATTCTCGGGCCGACTTTGATTATTTATTCATCCCCCTCGGTGGGTGTGTGATAGCACGGGCACCACGCAACCCCTTGTCCTGGCTACTCTTGCTCTGAAATTCATCGAGCTTAAAGCCCTTTGAACATTGCTTTTCGAGGGAGGGGAAAAGTTTTTGAAGTCCTCTCTCTCTCTCTCCCCCTCCGCAGTGCCACAGCACCTCTTGCCGCCATTCCATGCACCTTTGCCGATTGACATGCGACATCAAGAGGGAAGGTACCATTACGAACCTCACTCTGTCCACAGCGTGCACGGGTAAGTCCTGCCTCGGCCCCTCTGCTCCACGGAGGCCCCCTCCCCAGCAGTCTCAGCTGTCAATTCTTGCCTCTGTCCTCCTTTGTGGAGTTCCTGCTCTGTGCAGTCCCCAGTGGGCATGCACCTTTGCCACCCATGAGCGGGAGGTACGTGCGCACCAGCCACCCTTCTGGTGCCTCCTGAGAAGGACGCTCGGCTCACCTCCCGACATTCTTTCCCAGACTCTATAGACTTCCTTAGGGGACCTCCCTGCTTTACCCAGCCACGACGTGAGTCCCCTCCTGGCTCAAAAACCTGGATGAGGAAGGTGACCTTGGATATGTGCTGTCCCAACAGAACCTTCAGAGGACTCCCTTTTACTATCTCAACTCTTCCACTTGGGACAGTATGTTTCGTGGGCACCCAGCCATAAGAGCAAGCTCAAAGCAATGCTCTGGGGTCTCTTCCTATTTCCCGGCCTTGAGATCTCCAGGTCAAAGGGGCATGTCTCAGTAAGTCCAGCCCTGCTCCTGTCCATTCCCACCTGGGACCTCTAAGCCCCTGGTTCATGTCAGTTTTCTTGGTCTTTATGACTCGAGGCTCGGTACCTCTCTACCCCATTCATTCTTCTTCTACAAGAGAGGTGCCAATGTCTCCACTGTCCCCACTCCTACCTGTAAGGGGAGCTTCTATGAAGGATCAACTGGCCCTGAAGGCCCTGCTGACCACACCCCTCTAGTCACCTTACCTGGTTCCAACACACACCTCCTGCCTCCCATCTCTGCCATGCTCCGGCTTGCCCATCCCATCTAGAAGATCCCTTTCACCTGACCACCTCTAAGCCTCAGCTCTGGAGTCACTTCCTGCAGGGGTTACTGGGTCCCCCACATTGAGTGGGGCCCCATGCTGGTTCCCTCGACACTATCACCCCAGAGTGAGCCGCTTGCATAGCTGCCTTCCAGCAGGCTCTGAGCATCCCTTGGACTTCTGACAGCTGACATGCAGCAGGTCAATGCTACTTGAGTGGACAGCCCTCTCCACGTGTGGCACCTCATGGAGGCAAGTCCTCCTACCTCTCCCATCTCCTGTCGGAATGAAGTCAAGAGGCATTTGCTGAATGCTCCCTACATTCCAAGGGTTGTGCCCAAGAAGTACACAGCCAGCCCTCGATGTCACCTGTTTGGGGAAACCTATTGCTTCCCCAGGATGGAACAAACCTGGGACTTTTTATTTTCTTTTCTAAAAATATATATATTTTACTTTTTAATATTTTACTTTGAAATAAGTCCAGACATGCAAAAGCAGTTGCAAAAAATCATAAAGGATTTCCTGTATGCACTCCATCTGGCTCTTTAAATGTAAACATCTTACATAACCAAAGACTGACACAAGGCTGTGCACGAACCTACCCCTTTTATCCACTTGTGGCTGGGTGCCCACGAACGTCTTTTTTCCTGGTTCGGAAGCCAGCCCTAGGTCCCCCATTGCCTTTGGTGATTGTACATTCTTCACCATCTTTCGTCTGGATGGATCTGGCATCCCTCTTTGTCTTTTATGACTTTGACACTTTTGAAGAATGTGGACCAGTTACTGCATATGCCTCTCAGTTTGGGTTAAGCTGATATTGCTCACAGTTTTGTTCAGATGATGCATTTGGAGGAAATAATATCGTAAAAGTGATGTTGTGTGTGCTTTACAGCACATGGTATCAGGAGGCACCGGAAATGTGGGTCATTTGCTTAAGGCAGTGTCTTCGGGATGATCTGCTTTAAAGTTGTTACCTTTGTAGTTGTTAAGTGTCTGGCTGGACAATACTTGGGGACTGTGTGTATACCCCATTTCTTATCACTTTTATGCACGTACTTAAATATCCATGAAAGATTCTTGCCAGAAACTGTAATGATTAGTGTTTGGCACAGGGTGTTCTGTTTCCGTTGCTCCATCTGTGTGTATTGATGGGAATTCTACTGTAAGGAAGAACTGTCCTTCCTCCCATGTTTTCTTTATTTGATTATTCATTGGACACATGGATATGCATATTATTCTATGGATAATACTCTACTTCAGTATTTATTGTATTGTTCAGACTGTCCTACGTTTGGCCATTGGGAGTCTTTTCCAATGGTCCTGTGTGTCCTTTTGACATATTGGAAACTTACCATGCTTTTTTGATGTATGTACGTGGTCCTTGAATGACTAGGATCTGCTTCAGTGCACCTGTAGGTGATGGGGTCATTACCATCCTCTGATCCCTTCCAGGGACGCTCCAGTTCCAAGCAGCTTCTGGAAAGTGCGAATGTTTGGAACTAGTTGAATCACCTGAAAATTGAACATTTGGTGGCATCTGAAAATCCTAGGAGCTCAGTTCCAACCTGGGATGGAGTTTGTGCTGCTGATTTTCCTGCTCTTGAGAAATGTGTGGCTGGCTCAGGGGCACCGATCCTGGGCACAGCAAGCCAAGTGTCGCTTGCACATGGTCCCATTGTTGGGCAGGAAATGTGACAATGCTGAGAGGTCTCTGGGGTGGGATCCACAATCTGTTTAATGTGTTCTCAGGTAAATGCTCTGAAGCCTGGGTCTTGAAATGCTCTGATTGTAGACAGAGCCCTGCCACTGAATGAGAAGTCCCTCTGTGCCGACACTCACTAGGCAGGCAGGTGGCCATGGGCTGGGGCTTCTTTCTGGGCTTTGCCTTTCTCTGGTGCTGGGTTGGACAGTCAGATGCCATGTCTGGACCTGCTTCCTTCCTGGCCAGGGAAGACAGAGTGCCAACAGAGCCTGGGGCAGGAGAAAGCTCATGGTGGCCACTGGCAGCCTGGATTGAATGGTAGTATGAGTTATTAGTAGCTGCTAAAACAAATTGTTTCTCTAGATTGAATGGTAGTATGAGTTATTAGTGGCTGCTAAAACAAATTGTCACCAACTGAGTGGCTTAAACCAATACAAATGTATAATCACAGTGTTCGGAAGGCCAGAAACTCAAACTCACTCTGATGGAGCTAAAATCAAGTGTTGGTTCCTCTTGGGGGCTGATGAGGAGAATCTGTTTCTTTAGCTTTGCTAGTTGTGGACACCTCCTGCATTCCTTGGCTTGCAACCCTGAGGTCACATCGTACCACCTTTTCTTCTCTTTGTCTTCTCATTTCTTCTTCTGAAGCAGTTTTCTCTCTGCCTCTCTCTCATCAGGCTTTGCGATTGTTTTTAAGGCCCACCCAGCTATCCAGGATCATCCTTCCATCTCAAGATCCTTAACACTGCAAAGTCCCTTTTGCTATTGAGGGTAATACAGGCTGTGAGGATTAGGACATGGTCATCCTGGGGGACCATTACCTGGTACACTTGGGATCACCAGACCCTAGCGAGGAGTCTGGCTCCATCCAGTAGCATAAAGGGTGTTGAGCATTTTGCACAGATCTGCAGCAGGCACCGCCGTGAGCCTGATGTGCATATTAATCTTCCCGGTTGCCCCGGGAGATGGGGTTAGAAGCTTGGTCTTGCAGATACAGCCCTGAAGCTCAGAGAGGGGTTGTGGCTTCCCACAGGGTGCCTGCAAGGTGGGCATCTGGGGAGAGCAGTCTCTCAGGTACAGCTCCCCTCCCCAAGACAGGAAGGGGTTGTCTGCTCAAGCCCCCATTGACCCTGTCCTGCTGGGGCCGGCCTCCTTGGGATAGTTGGGTCCCACTCAGGCCAAAGGGTGAGACAGTGAAAGCTTCGGGGACTGGCCCTGAGCTCTGCAGAGCCCAGCTCCTCCCCTGCCCTCCCCTCAGTGCCTCAGGTGGGAACCGCATAGAGCCTCCTAGAACATGGCCCCGTGGCTCTGGCTGCCTTGATTAACGTGGTCGGAGCCTGGTGGAGCCCCCGATCCATCAAGCCCATGTTGTGGCCTGCTTCTCTTTGCTGGCATCAAGTGTGTCTAATTACACAAATGTTACACAGCAAATGAGGTCCAGCGTCATCTCTTGTCACAAGTCTGAGCCTCTGCCTGCTGCTGGGAGTATCAAGGGTGCGCCCACCAGTCTGCCCTTGTCCCCTCCTGCCCCCCACTGCTTGGGCATCAAGACCTCTCCCCAGGGCTCTCAGGATCCTGAGATCTCTAGGGATGGGGCACCCCAGGGTGTGCAGGCTCTAGGGCTGGCCCCTCGTGCCTCCCCTGTGCCCACAGAAGCGCTCCACTCAGTGCCCCAGAGCCTGCTGGGCTGGCTGCACTTGAACCTCGAGCTGAATCCACCAGCTGTGGGAGAGCAGATTGACAGAAATTAACAAATTAACCAAGTTCAATTTCTTCATCGGTGAAGGGGCCAGATCTCACAGATAATCCAGATAACACAACCAACTGAAATATTCTGAGAGTAAAATAGGACCCTCTGGGGGAAGCATTGAGAACAGTCCGCAAGCCTTCAATAGAGAGGTTGGTGGTTCGTATTGGTACTGCTGGTCTCCCTGCTTGCCTGTTCTAAAGACGGAGATTCGTTGCAGGCTGTGGGCCGTGTGGGGCAAAACCAAGAGACCATCTAATGGCTGGGATGTAAGATGGTGGGAAATGAGGCCAAGAAGTTACCGTTGAGGGAGGAAAGATTGGATGTCCTCCTTTGGCTCCCAGGAACAGGAAGGAGAGCCAGATTTATTTTTAGGGAAACTGTAGAACAGTTAAGGGATGGACAGAAGGACAGAGAACATGGCGAGGAGACCTGCCAGCAAGTTCTAGTAGCCCCACGAAGACGAGGCGCAGGGCCAGGTTGGCAACCCCACTCTCCAAGTTCAGGCTGCTGAGGGGCCACCACGCAGCCCAGCCCTGATGGTGGCTCGCTTCTAGACACGCACACCCTGCCCCTCTGCACCCATGTCCTGGTATGTGATGAGTCCCGGCTGACTTGGCCAGAATGAACTTGTGTCCTGGAAGGAGCAATGGAAGTCCCATGTTCCTGGCTCAGGGTTGATCTTCAGCTCTTGATGTGGCTTGGTGGGTCGAGCCTAGGCCTGCCCTGCCCTGCCCTGCCATAGGCTTCAGAAAAGACCAACTC